AATTAATATACATTTGATACAAATATATTGTTATTAGGTACTCAATTTCAAATAAAAAATAAAAATATTTTTTGTTTTGATAGTTTTAAACCCTTTTCATGTAGATTTGGGTAAATATTTAATTTATTTCTATGACGCTGAAAGTTTTCAATTTCCAAGGAGGCTTCATCAAACTCTCGATCATTAGTATGGTTGTATTTATGAGATCGAAGTTATAAGTTATGGGTGATACTTGAAAAAAATCCTGCTAAGAGTTTTGCACTCCATCCAAAAAAACATCCCAGAAAAATCTAAAAAACTTCTTTTCTCGGGAAATTCAGAAAGAAGGTGTAATAGTGGCCCGGATCAACATTATGGTTTAGCTAACAAATTACCGGAAGAACATATTTCAATAGAAGTATTAGAAAACACAAAAGACGATTTTTTAAAACACTTTACAGTTGGACAGACGTGAACGGTAGCCATTGAGAACAAACAAGGGAACAGGCCAATTCTCAAATTTGGCATGTTGAACGTAGAAATCGGCTCACCGCGTCAGAATTTTGGCTGCGTTTGTAAACTTCGAAAGACTACGTCGTTCAAAAAATACTGTTTATAGTATGCTATATAGGACATTTTCTTCGAAAGCAACAGATTATGGTAAAGGCAACAGAATCCAATCTATCGTCGCGCTGGAAAAAAAATTTAATTGCACAGTGAATAAATGTGGATTATTATTGATGAAAATTTTCCTATCTTAGCAGCTTCTCCTGGTAAAATATATTTTAGTACTTAATCATAAATATTAATTGAATCAATACAACTAAATTAGTTTATTTATAATTTATAGACGGTCTTGTCAATAATGATTTTATAGTTGAAAATTAAATGTCCATTATGCAGTAAAAGACACCAAGAACATTTTAGATTCTGAGTGAAACGATGAATGTATTGATTTTACAATGATGTGTGTTTTTTTTTTATTTTTGTGTCTGTGTACACGATTAGTAGTTGAAATAATGCTTCATTTTCAATTTCAGTAACTTTTTCGATGGGAAAGTGAATCTAGTTGGTACTTTTGGGAGGTCAAAATTTAAAATTCCAAAGAGTTTTCACAAGCGACAAGATTAACAAAATAAAATTAAGGAAAAACGGGAATTTTTTACCCAAAATCAGTGACCCACATGTACTAATGCAACAGCAGAGCACTTTTTTTATTATTTTTTTTTTTGTGTCTGTGTACACGATAAGTAGTCGAAATAATGCTTCGATTTTCAACTTCAGTATCTTGTTCGGCTGGAAAGTGAATATCGTTGGTGCATTGGGCAGATCAAACTTTAAAATTCCCAGTTGTTTTAAAAGTGCCAAGCAAAACAAAGAATAAAATTAAGGAAAAACGGGGAATGCTTTTACGCAAAATTGAATTTGGTTTTTGGTGTAACTTTAAAGCAAATGACCGTAGACACTTGAAATTTTCACTGGTTGTTTATATTTACATTTTCTATACACTATACATTTTCAAAATATTTTAATTTATTTTGAACTGTTTAGGGACATTTTCATTTTATAGGTACTTATTATAGGTCAATTTTTTGTTACCATAGATATGTATATAATATGTCTTATAACTAGACTGACATACCGTCTCCGCTCAGAATCGTTTTTCTTATACATGATATTAATATCAATTGAATTCAAATTTAATACTATCCATTATACAGTGACAGACTTGTAACTTACTGTACAGCAGAGCGACACCCACTTGCCCACTTTTTTAGAAGCTATAAATAGTAAAACAATTAGAGTATTATTATTTATTATTATTGTGTTTAAAACGATTCTCCTAAAATATTTCAATTGATATACTTTTCAAGGACCAACAAGCCAAGAATAATATTTTTAAATTTAAAAAAAAATAATTAAAATCATTATTCTCCGTTTTATTATCTACTTTCGTCCAAATTTTAACTTACACTATCTATTTGAAAAAAATTATTTTATTTTACACAATTTTGAAGTTTTTTGGTTACAGTTTAATACAGTTTAATACAACATTCTACCTTACCAAAATCCGATGAAAAAGAAAACCATATTTGTCCTTTTTAAATTAATCTATTTTCTTCCCAGAGGTCTAATTTACACACAAAATATAAATCAACAAACATGCCCGGTTAACCAATAGCAGCCAATATATACACTATTATTATTTTAATCTGCAACTATAAACTAATTTTTTATTATTTAGGTTATTTTTTCTGGCAGATCACGCCACTCTTGTATTTTTGATCTCCCTATGTCCTACTTTTCTGGTGGATTTTCCTCCAATTTACTTTCATAAGAACACAATAAAAAAAGAATCAGCCAAATCGGTTCAGTAGTTTTCTCGGTTAGCGCGATCGCAGAAAACCCTTCAACTTTATAATAGTATAGATATTAATAACATATCAACCAATATATTATAATACACTATTATTATTTAATATTTAATCTGCACAATAAACTTTGTTTTTAATTTTTTTTTAATTAGTTTATTTTTTCTTGACAGATTGCGCGATTTGATTGATATTTTTAGAAAAAAACTAAAAAAAAAATGGAAAATGAAAATGTCCCTAAATAGTTTTTGGTGAAATTGAAACAGAAAGAATTATTTCGACTTCTTATCGTGTACACAGACACAAAAAATAATAATAAAAAAAGTGCTCTGCTGTACAGTAGGTAACATGTGGGTCCCTGTAAAATGGATGGTATTAAATTTGAATTCAACGATATAATAACATTGTATGAGAGAAACGATTCTGAGCGGAGAAGGTATGTCATTCTAGGTTTAAGACATATTATAAACATATCAATATTAATAAAAATAAATATGCACAGTCTTATCATAGAGTATACTTTTTATTCATTATACCATGGTAGATTGTATGGATAGGTTATAATATTTTGATTTTTTGATTTTTCAGTTTCATATATCCCCGAATAATATTTTTAAATTACAACATATTATGTACATATATTAATCTAAAATAATATAATTTGAATATACACTGGACTCAAAAATTTTACATTACTCTACAAACAAAACGAATCGAGGTACATACTAGAAAATAATTTTTTTTAATTGGCAATTCATGTGAAAACATGATATAATATATTATACTCAGGTAAGCTATAATAGTTATCAATAGAACACCATGATTGATCATTGATTTAACAGTTGCAGGAACACAATCTATAATACACAACTTATATCATACGTCTATAGGAGAATAATTTACGAGACGAATATCATAGCCGTCTCTGACACTAAAGTATCTACTCATTATACACGCATATAGAAGTGTAAACCCCTAAATGAATTCATATTTTAAAAGGTTTCCCTACATAATGTAAAATATCGGGTGTCATAAGTAAAAATTAAAATTGTTTTTAAAATTCTTCTATGAATAGATTTTAAATAAGCACATCATCACTATAACTGGTTTTTTAAACATAGAGTACAAGTTGGTCCTAATAATAATAGCTGATGACATTAATAATAATTTGTATTTAACCGGTTTCATTTGTACAATACATGTTGTAAGACGGGTGGTATAGGCAATTTAGGTACATATTTCCGCGCAATACAGCACCAATGAGGTGTACAATATTATGCCCTATATTATACATTATACCATAACATTCAATGTAAAAGGGCAGCTTGCAGTACTTGCTAAGAATTTTGAAAGAACTAAAAATCGATCAAAATTAATTGCGGGCTGAATACTTCTTTTATTATTAAAAATAGCTTTGTATTAGTAATTTGCAAACATAATAAAATGTATAATTGAGCTATACCTTTCTAGTTAGTATAATATATACATCCATGGCCACGGTCGTGGCGCGAGCTAAGTAAAAAAAAATATATCTGTACAACAGTGTGTGTATATTATATCGAAGTAGGAGTTGTCCATTTAAACTGTGTAAAATACGGGTTAATATGTTCAGCGGCATAACTAATTTTCTAATGCATCAATTAACTCTTAGTTAACCTTAAAAAATCAGAAATATTGTCTAGAAAGTGCTTTTGTAAAAATCCTATGTTTAGAAATTAAGTTATAAATGAAAAAATTGAACTTTTTAATGGAAATTTATATAAAATTCAGAATCACGGTAGTCTTCGTCGTCGTCGTAGCAACAGCGTTGCCAATGTTTGTTATCTAGTCATCGGGGAAAATATGACAATATTACCGTAAAACAATATAAACAATATTACCGTTCTTGTACCTAGATCATTGTTTAAATACCCAATATTTACTCAGTATTTACACAAACAATATTGTTGTCTTTACTTTACGCCGTACTTTATACAATATACTATATATATATAGATAAAAATATAGATCCATTATCATTATTTTCATTGATGATGAAAATTAGTGATATCTCAACAAAAATCCTTCGTAAACTAAGGGTAAAAATGGCTAAGTAAAAAAAATATGAGATCTTTAAGCACCATAAAGATGTGATATCATGAATTAATGCTAAGTAAACTTATTGTGTTTCAGTGGTGTATTTACTGGGCAAGGAATTATTTATTATAGTATATATATATATTAATAATAACAATATTTTTAAAATAATAATAAGTGATATTTCAATAGTCCTTCGCCATTTAATTATTTTATTCATCACACTTTGTTTCTTTTAAGCAATAATTATTCGCCAAGTAAATAAATTATTGAAATACAATAAGTTTACTTAAATTCAATATACTTAAGTATGCTAATTAGCATGTATTCATGATATCACATCTTTATAGTGCTTAAAGATCTTATATTTTTTTACTTAGCCATTTTTACACGAAGTTTTAGAAGGGGTTTTGTTGAGATATATATATACAAAAAAAGAAGATTCGATATAATCACTACAATTATTAATTAGTGTAGCTCTTCTCAGGGTCTAAACGTTGAGTCTAACCAGAATCATTATACAATATGACGTACATTGTACGTGTTTCGTCGAAGTAACACGTGTTCACAAATTTAAGGTATACACACAAAAAACTTAGTAACCGGCGATTCTTGATTACGGCAATCCTTGTATAATGTTTTCTCAGGAATTTCGAGCATTCTCACCTTACGATCAAGCAAATTTTCAATTTGTTTATCGAGCCCACGTTTAGACTGAGTCAATTGATTTTTTATAACTATAGTCGCAGGATTCTTAGGAAATTTATAGTCTTTATAAATATGCATAATTTCATTGATTACACATTCATGTGGTTGGAATGTTGGGTAGTGTTGACCAATCCTCCTAATTTTGAATGGGAAATTATAGTAGGGAAAATCACAGTAATTATTAGTCATCACTCATCATTTTTGAATGCGTACTGCGGGTACCGCCATATAAAATATGAAAAAATGAAAAAGTTTCCAAAACAAGTAAGTGACCCATAAAGGATGTAGGTAGTTTGTTAAATTAATATTTAGATTTAAATAGGTACCACAATTAATTCACGTTTAATTGCTATCATATATCTTTGTTAGGTACACGACTATTGATTAATTACTAAATTAACTTGATTACTGACATTTTTGAGTTCACAAATCACAACTGCCAACTTAAAAGAGTAGATTCCACCGATGTATCCTCAACTGTGACATCAACCTATAAACAAAAATTGTCCTGATAAATTGCCGATTATAAATTAATTGATTTGCCATTTCAAATTCAAATATTATTCTTAATAATTAGGTAATATGATCTGAACTTCAAACAATACGCAAGTATAATACATATTTTGGATTTGTTTAACCACAGTAAGTATCCTACGATTTTCATAGTTTCGAAAACTCATTTTGAGGGACTTAAGTGCAGAAAATAGATTACAAAAACTTGAAAATATATTCTTCGTCACACCTGCACCAAAAGTTTGGTTTTCAATGACGGTTGGAGTGTTGGAAAGCGACCTTTTTCCGTCAAGCGGGTGACAAAGTGGAAATCCCTATAGTGTCGGGCGGTCAAGTGGAAATCCCGAAAAGTGCCGGGCCATAAAACGGAAATCACGAACTAGTAGTTCGTGGTGAAACTCCAAAAGTGCCGGACTCGCATATCACGATTATCTCCTACACAACCAGAAAATCTATACCACGGTCTTTTCAATACATAAACTTTTGATTACATCCGCGGTTAACGATAGTACTCTCTTACTACTTATATATTCATGATATTATTATAACTTGTTTACATGACGGCATGACGAGTAAACATTTTTATTTCCTTGAATAATCTGGTTGTTTCATAGTTCCCTGGCTAGTGCATTTTAAGCCAGTAATGAGAATTTTTAAGTTGTCATGTTTTACATAGGTACTTACTATATTAATAACTCTCTTAAAAGTATGAATACCGTGAATAACCAACAGATTTGTGATAATATTATATTTAAAATTTAACATCACGTTCTCTTTAAATTGATATGCGTTTAAACTTTATGACAAATATACCAAATACCTATAGTATTTTCACTTTCACTTTGCAGTACTCAGGTACTGTACTATCTTTACAAGTATATCAATGATGATCATTATTCAATAATTATTACAATAACAAAATGGACGGTCACAATCGGTTGAAACATAAATAAATATTATCTAGGTATATCAGGTAATCTGTGGGGTTCGATTTCTCGAGTGTTGGGATTGGTTTTTCAATTGTTATAGTAACTGCGAGTTAGTTAACCTTCAGTTAATTTAAACCATCAGTTAAAACGCCGGTTAAAAAGTTGATGTGCTAGTTAGTTAGAGGTTAATCGTAAAATCAATATATCTTGCGAGTGGTTTACAAAAATTAGGATTTAATTTATAATTTATAAATTATAATTTACTATATTCATCATTATATTTTAATATTTTAAAGCAATCGAATAATTTAATTTTACCTACCTATTACGAATAATACTCAGAACAACATTTTTTTAAATTCAAATTTATGTATGTTAATAAATTGTAATTTTAAAATTGAATCAATAAACAATTGTATTAAATGTAATAGTTTTATATTCGTCTATTGAGTATTTATGTCATTTACAATTGTTTTAGTGAATTTTTTTGTGTATTTTATGTTATAAATAATAAATTCATTTTTTTTGGTGCATCCGGGTCCCGACTCCCTATAATTATACGATATTTATTTAAATGGGTGTAATGTAGAACGATACAATATCAATTACATTATATTGGTATACCTAATTATATAAAATAATAATATTAATGAAATTAAAAACACAGCGGTAATCACATCAATAACCTAGGCCAGGGGTCGGGAACCTGCGGCTTTTTGGATGATTATCAATATATTGAGATCCGTAAAATATAAATTATATTATACCTACGTTATTATAGTGATAATAATTCTGAATTTCCCAATAACGATTTTCAGGTAAAAATTAATATATAATAATATGTATATTATGTGTGGGTTCTATCTATTAAACTCGACTATCATTATTCGGTAGAATACACAAAATTATATTATTCGATACGTGAGCAAAAAAAAAAAAGGTTGCTCAAACCTGTTCGGCTTCCTGGATATCATAGTTTTTGTAATTTTTTAAATAAATGGTTCTTTCCTACCAAAAGGTTCCCGACCCCTTAAGTTGATGAAAAATTTGATTAAGGTTCAAAATAAATTGTTCATGAACGAATTAAATAATATCGAATATATTCAAAGTCACAATATTTTTTTATAAACATTTAAGATAGAATTTAGTATTCTTTATACTGTGATAACTGATAGTATAGTAAATATAAGATTAGTAACTGAAAAAAGTGATAACATGCTATTTTTAATTTGCTAGTTCAGGGTAGTAAGGTTTAGTTTATCAATAAAATATAAAATACTGTCTTAGGTATTAATTTATAAATAAAATACTTACTGGCCTAGTATAATTTTAATAAATGTTAAATGTTATAATAGTACCTATCTCTATAAATGTAATAATTTATTATTATTTTATAGTTGTTATTATTTGTTTTTGAATTGTTGTTAAATACTTAGCATAAATTAGTAAATGTGTAAATTATTTAAATCAATATTCCCAGCCATTAACATTTTTTCTTAATTCATCACAAATATATTATCTGTTATTAGTTCATACAAAATATACTAAAACAGGCACAAATTAACCTATTTATTTATTCAGCCAGAACTATTAAAATTAAATAATTACAATACATGGCATTAATAATAGCTGATTCCAACCGAGCTATAAGCTCGTATCTGTTATACGGAGTTCATCGATATTACAATTCGTTTTATAGTAAAATACTTATACAAATAAAAATTTAATTAATTTTAAACATAACATAATAGATAGGTATGGAGGACGGAGTGGCCGAGTGGACTAAGGCGTCGATTGCGACGCGCACCTACGCCGGTTCAAAACCTCGGCTGCGGGCAGCATTTTTCTTCGGGCAAGTCACGGTGTCCAGAGAGAAGTGCCGCCATCCCCCACCTGGGCATGGCAGATAAATACGGGTACCCACTAAAAAATCTAGCAAACTAACAAACACACGTGTTAAGACATACAGTACCCTCCCCCACAGTTAAAAAAACAACCAATGGCCTAAGTTGCTGCGGGTTAAAAAAAAATAGATAGGTACTTTAAAACACAATTAACATCAGCTTTACAAATTCACATACATACTTTTTATAATTTTATTGTTACTCAGTACACACATTTATCATCAAAATCACTAATTATTTTGTTTATTGTCTTTTTTATTAATTATTTCATTGGTATTACCGGATTAACTTTCACATCAACTTTTTATTAGACTCTTTACTTCGTTATTAAAATTTTTTAATAAGGCTTAATGTATTTTTATGTTCTTCTGTCTATTATTTCTGTACCACTGAGTGTGTGGTTTTGAATAGATTTTACTAAAATTTGTCTAGTGTATAATTTATAAACAGATAATATATAATTTATGGTTGAATAATTCCTATTTCCTCTGATGGGTATTTTAATGGAAGGGAGTACTTTACTTTTGAAATATTTTTTTGGGTATTATATGCAATGTATTATTGTATTAATATGTTTTATTAGTGCCCCCCAAAATGTTATGCCGTATAATAGAATTTAATTACACAGTGAGATAAATATTGTCTTATAATTGATTTATCAAGAAATCGAATTTTGTAAAATAATACAGTTAAGCTCTTCATTTTAATTTTAATATTCTGTATGTATTATTACCATTTCAGGTTAAAATCTATTGTCACTCCTAAATATTTGAATGATAACACCGTTTTAGTTGATTTACAAGTGAAATTTGTAATAGGTACCAGTTTAAAATGTATGTATTACAAAGTTATATTTAGCTATGTACGACGTACGTATAGTAACTATTGGCATGCAAACCGATTTATGTTGAGTAATAACAGATTTTTTTTCATCATTTCATAGATATATCGTAAATAAATTTTGACAATATGTTTCAATTTTTCCCAATTATCTTCGAAATGAACTAGTGATATGTTATCGGTGAACATGAATAATTTTCCTTTTAATAATAAAACTTAAAATGACTACTGCAGATTGTAAAAATAATTATAACACACCATTGATGTCACGCCTCAAATGATCAGATTGAAAAAATAATTCGTTAAACATTGACTCGTTCATATTCGTCTACATACGGGCTACAAAATTGAAAACCACTTTGTATTTTTGAAATATTGAAAACCTTATGAAATGAGTATATTTTATTTTTGCACATGACAAATTAACAATTTAATATTAATAAATATCTACAAGAAATAAGGAACGGCGGAACCGTACCACCAAACTAATATTATGTTAACATGATTTATCCTGTTTTAATATTACGTCCCTTGGATCATACTGCATATATTTGATCCATATGACACGCTGCACATCATGACACACTTTCTATTTTTCGTCAGAATGCTTGCGACGCCGATGTCTTGTCAGATTGCCGCTCTCACCGAACGACTTGTCTCACATATCACATGCATACACGATTTATCGCCGGTGTGCGTGCGCCGATGTCTTGTCAAACTGCTACTTTGACTGAATTACACATCACAGAAATCGCAAGGGTATGGTTTTTCGCCGGTGTGTTGTCAAACTGCTACATTTACTGAACAATTTGTCGCATACATCGCACCGGTAAAGATTATAATTCTCCATTTTTCGGCTGATTTGTAAATACTTTACTTTTGTCAGTAAACAATAATTTGTTTAAGACGTAATTGTTTTTCTTACAATTATTTGGTTTCCTTGCTATTGTGGTTATAATCGATTAGAGTTTATTGACGTAACCAGGTCTATATTACTTGTTTT